TTTTTTTTTTTTTTTTTTTTTTTGTGAAGCTAATGGGTATGAGGTGGAGGCCATTTTGCTAAATGAGCCGCTAGCTCACAACCATCAAACCCTATTATTTTTTCAATTAATGAGCATCTTTTAACAATTACACACATAAGATACTGCCAAAAAACTAATAAATCAAGATAGCAAAAGGGAACTTATTTTTTAACATAATACAGATATGCCCGGACTAACGCTTATTAAAAGATAAGCGTAAGCACATATGAGAATTGAAGCTCCCAAAAGGCTAAATGGCGATGTTCAACATTTTCAGTTTTTAAACACTCTTACCTCCTCCAGAAGCAAGAAAAAATATAGCAGGAGAGAGGAAACCCAAGGTGAAAAACAATTGAAATATCTGAACTCTTCAGAAAACAATCTGTGAGCAAGATTCAGAAGAAACCAGCATAATTAAAAGTATAGGACGCATGGATACTCAGAATGATTGTCGTGCTGATTTCCAATATCTGTTGGATAAAATACTTGCATCGTGCTTCCAACACATGCATAACACTGGAAGAATAGTTCTAAAAGAACAAAAGACCATGTAATCGGTCAGAAATGGATTTTTTTTTTTTAATTGTGCCAGACACCTCAGGATTATGGCTCATCTAAATGGACATAAGACAATCCTCTGACATAGTTTATGACACTTTAGTTTAGATTTTTGACACTAATTAACACAAGTGAAGCACATATTAAACATGTGCTTCATGGGCATGTTTAAATCGGATATTGGATTGAACACTGAAATTTTCTTCCAGTTCAAGATTAGAAATCAAAGATGTCAAACAGTTAATGCTTTAATAGATTTTGATAAAACATAACATATTCATCATTAATGAGTCAGTAGTTGATATTGCGTAGTGTTTGCGCACCATTATTTGTGTTTATCCATGTCCCCGTGTCCTACTATCCAAAGATACTACCTGACCATGTATCCTACTATCCAAAGATGTTCCCTGCCCTCTTGTCAGTTATTGTATCATGTCCGTGCACGTATTCGGCGCCTTCCTAGTCCAAAATCCAGCTTTTGACATCCGTAAATTGGATATGAGGAATAATAAGTTCGGAATGAGAAAGTTTACCATCTGAAATTACTTCTAACTATATTTAAGGAGAATTGTTCATCGTACTACTTTGTTCCAAGGTATTAAATTGTAGAACACCAAGGACAGCTTTCCTAACGCGCATCTCATATCCAGGGCACCATAGACACTTACCCATTCTTCGTTTGGCCAGGATCTGGCAACCGACAAACATAATGGCAACAGTAGATGACCAAATTTTGCCAATTTTGAGGCATACTTCAGGAAAGACTCCATTTATTAATGATAGGTAGATGACAAGGTTACTGCAAAAGGTAGGAACAACATTCAATTGATTTCCCATATAAAAGGTCATGCAACTGATCCTCAAGAACTCCGAGTGACAAACTTATTTCAGATGCAAATCATGCAATGGGCAAAACTGATAAGAAATGTGATAATCTGAATATCAGTTGTCTAGATTTATAGTGCCAAGAAAGCATACTAAAAGCAAAAGAGAAGCTGACTAGCATAAAAATTACAAGAGAGAAGAAACCAAGCAAACACGTATACCTATAACCATATCAACCAGCATTGTCACAATATAGATCGTAAATTCCAGCCTTGTGACAATTGTGGTGTATGAGCCTCTAGACCCGTAGTATTACCAAACTATAAACAAAAAGCACTTTCTAATCCATCAGGAAAGAAGACAATATGATTGTCAAACGAACCACTTTTCAAAAATGAAAATGCAGTCAACCTGAACTACTTTGTTGCTAACGAACAGTTTCTATTAAAAATTAATAATGAAGTTTACTACAGCATTTCCATCGGCATGTACAGATGGTTCATGCTGATATAACTCATACAAATAAGCACTGGAATTATCACTGAAGGGTTTGAATACAAACTAGAAAAACTAATAGAAATACGAAGATAAACTTCTCTAAAAATAAAAATGGAATCGTCCACACCTACATATTTTACTATGATCATTACAAAACTCCAGAAATCAAATGCATAATAAAGATTTCAGAGATATGCAATCAGTATGGACATAACACTTTCCACTTACCTTAGAACTCTTACTGGGCTTTAAGAAAAAGGAAGAGTTGAGACACCAAGGCCAGCCAAGCTGAAAACAGTGAAGGGACCTGATATAGAGGGGAAAAGGATCACCAAGTCACAAAGAAATGCAGGGTTTCTTCTTTCTTTCCAATTTTGCTTCTTCGCCTTTTTTTTTTATACAGTGAGAGGGTGTGTAATAAACATAACAGGACGCGAACTTTTGACTTACCAAAAATATTCATTGAAATCATCATAGTTTCTCCAGGCAGAGTGTGGTGCCCGCCCATTGTCATTGCTAGCTGCTTCCTGGATAAGGCAGATTCAGTTACTTTAGGTTTAGACAGGTAAGGTTACATTTCTTTGAAACATAGTTAATTCAAAAATATGTGAAAAGGTACTGGCTACATTACAGAAACTGAGTAACAGAAGACTATTGCAAAATTTGTCACTTGCCAAGGAAACTGACTTTTGAGCATGGCCAAAAATATTCAGAATTCTACTTTTCCCTTCTAATATCTAAACAAAAAAAGTGTACCATTGATGATTCAACAGCAATCCCCACAAAAACCAAATTTAAGAATTAAAAGTTACCCGTTTAATTAGTTTACCACCACCAAATATTTTTGCCTGCAGAAGGCTCATTTAATAGTAAGCCGTACGGCCCGTACTTGATTCATCATAACCATCTCATGACTATTCAATTTATCTCATAATTAGATCAATTTGAGCACTGACCACTGTAGCAGCGGAAATGGTCTCTTTTAAAAGTTTAGATATCCAACTTGCAAGAACAAGTGAGTCTTATCCATATCAGATATGTTCGATACTTGAACAGTCTGATGCACGATAGATTTGTGTCAGATACTCTTCGTGATGTATACTAAAAATGTGTAATGTGCACTAGAAATATTGGGAGACATATCATAAATGTATTTGGCTAAAAGGTTAAATATCAAATATATGATCAATAATGGATTCTCTTTCTGACTTACCATGCATTGCATTTTTATGATCTGTCCAATTTCTTGGCAAAGTATGATTATTCTTACAACTGAGTAATAACACAAGTATAATTTATTAATTTGTATTCATATCATATTGGTATCTCAAGTTTCTAAGATTTGCAATCTCGATGAATTAAATTCTATCACATCACTAATGATGTTTACGCATGTGCGTATGCATGTACGTATGCATGCATTTACGTAATTTTACATTGAGTACACATTATGTACGTATAATACAAAGAAATTATGAAATAAAGAATGATATCTTTTAGATATTACACGCATTAAGGATAAGCATATGCCTAAGCTCATGGTATAAGTGTCTCCAGGTAACAGCACAATTGCGCAAACGAACCAAGTTGATGCTGCTAATCGATAAATAGATAAAAAGAAACAAAGAAATGCAAACTATAAAATTTATAATTGTGAATTAACATTATGAGACAGAAACAAACTTACAGCAGCTAAAACATCATATAAAGGAAAAATAACGTGATCAAGAAATGATACACCATTCTGGGAAACACAGCTTTTAGCAGGCTGAGCACTCTGTTCACGCAAAATTTCTTCCAATTCTCTTGCCATCTGTGGAAACAACACAAGCACAACAGTCAAAAGAGAACAGCAAACACTAATCATGCAACAAATAGTAAGTAAACATGAACTAAACATCATTAAAATTCATGTGTTCTGTATATAACTACTACAAAACAGATTTATAGACATGGCTGTACTAGATGTCAACTTTTTCCTTCCCGCATTTCCCTCAAAGAATGCAGCCTGCTGATTGGTGCTTTCCCATGAGGATATCCATCAGATAACCACTACAACTTATTGGGTTCTCAAAAAATATCAACACAGGTGGATCTTTTTACAAATTAACCATAAAAAATGTGTGGCAACCTTCTCATGCGTTCACAAAATAGAATTTAAACAGTTTCTAATCACTTCCATACATTCTCATCATAGTTACACCAGGCAACAGAACTAAAAGGTTGCTATTATACTGTGTACATGACACATTGATGACTGAACAGATTTTATTTTGCTAAATTATCAAATTGGTATTTTTTGCTACACCCCTTTACCAGTTTTTTTTTTTTTTTTCCTCCGTGAGTTTTTGGTATTAAAAGTCCACCAAATGTGCAAGTAGACGGACAAATTTTCAAGATCAACCCTTTTCGAGATTTTATATCAAAAATCGACCTATTTGAGATTTATTTAGCATTTTCAACCTAGTTTCAGCCAGCTGGCTGAAACTGGATCGAAAGTGCGAAATAAGTTGCTAAAACTTCATAGGATTTAGAATCACATGTAGTTTAGCAGACAATTAAATTGCACGGGATTCTCAATTCTGTGTTTAGAATTAGGCTAAACTCCCCGGGATTTAGATTCCCGGGAAGTTCAATATATAATTTCAAGTTCGAATCTAAAATGATTTCAATAGTTGGCTAAGTAGTTAGCTAAAAGAAAGCTAGAATTCAATCACTCAAGTGGTCTTGAGTTCGAATCTCATCCCAACATATTTTTTTCCTTGAACGGTAAAAAAATTTTACAAGGCTGGGATTCAAACCCTATGCTTCCCATCCAAGACTTATAGGCTAATGCTATAACCACTAAACTCAGTACACGTAATTGCTTATTTTGTGTTGTTTATTATAAACTTCACGGGATTCAAAATCTCGTGAAGTTTGGTAGCAGACCACCATCTACGCCAAGCTTTTTTGTTTAGCGCTGATTAATTAATGACCAACTCTCGTGAAGTTTTTGCAACTTATTAGCAATTTCGACCGAGTTTCAGCTAGCTAGCTGAAACTAGGTCGAAAATGCTAAATAAAAGGTAAGTAGGTCAATTTTTGAAAATTAAGGTCTATGGTTTTGATAATTTGTCCGCAAGTAGACATTTTATCATCGCCGCCAGTGAAAAATTGGCAGGTAAAATACATGTGACTTCACGTGACTAAATTTAAGGGATATTAGAACACTAATGTTGCTGTGTTCAAATGATATGGCAGGGATTAGATGATGTCGCACAAATCAAAGACAGAGAGGGACAATTAATACCAAATTCCCTAATTTTATGCTCAAGATTTTCACCGGCGAGAAAAATGAGTACCTAGTTGCACACTTGTTAACTTTTAATACCAAAAAGTCATCGAAGCAACAAAGAATACCAAATTAGTAAAAAGGGGTGTTACATAAAGAAAACCAATTTGGTAATTTAGCCCATTTTATTTGGGTACGTTGGTAATTCAAACATGTCATGATGTAAACATCACTACAAATCAAACAAAGAGTGAACTTGAAATATGAAGAAAACAATTTTTGTTAACTTAACTATGTGTTTTAACACAATGAGTTAACTATGTGTTTTAACACAATGAGTTCATGTCAATAAGCAGAATAGGTCCCCATATTGACAACAAGCATAAAAGAAAAGGCTCAGCATAAATAGTAAAGAAGATCCAGACGTAATGTTAACCATACCAAAAAAATTAAAACATAATTGCAAACCACTCTAAGCCACATGACATAAGATGACAAAGAAGCATTAAAAATTCAACCATTTGATTGATGGTTTGAATCAGGCGTTTTAACTATGGTTCATATAAGCAAAGTTATGTCTAAAACCTCGCCACTAGCCATTATGTTGGTAGAATTTCTAGTTATCAGTTCCAGCCCGAAGTATTGGTCTTCGGTATATATGACTAGCTTATTAAATCTAAAAGATAATTAAAATCTTATATTTAAAGGACAAAAAATCTAAAAACTCTCGACATGATTCTTCATATTGTAACCAGATTAAACTAAAATTTGATGAATCTTGTAGGCGACTCTTCAAAATTTCTCAAGTGCCTTGTTTGGATGGGCTTGAATAAGGGAAAGGGGCAGGAAAGTAAATAGGTTTACCTTGTTTGGGAGATTTTTTGAAAAAGGAATGGAAGGAAAAGGAGTTGACAAAGTTTACATCCGTTAATCTGGTGCAGAGGAGGTAAAAGATTTTGGACCATTATGATATGAATCTAAAGGCTAAAAAATGATTCCCCTCCATTCCCATCACTAACCTCCCAAACATCATTATTACATTTCCCCTCCCCTTTCTTTCCATTCCCTAGCCTCACTTCCCCTTCCCCTTCCAACTCTCAAACATAGTGAAATGATTAATGATGTAACATTTGAATTAAGAATACAATTTTAGTTAACTGAAAAATAAATATGTTGATTGCACAAAATATAAAGCGTTAGTAGCAGTGTAGCACATGCTAAACATAGACTGTTCATCATTCATCTGCCATTACATAACTTAGTTCTATGATAGAGATAGTCAATTAGTCATAGAACCATCCAGTTTCTGCTACATCAGTTCATTGATTTCATGAGATTATTATAACTCCTCGTGCTACTTTTTATCTGCAGTTACTGTTCACATGAATCATTATTATTCTGTATAAAGTAGCGCATTTTCTGTTGGTAACATGCTTTTCATATTATGATTATATATATATAAAAAAATTGGTTCTGCTGTCAATTATTAGTGCTTTTTTGTTTTCCCTTTTTTGATAATGTCGGTAAGTTAACATCATGGTGAGCAGAAGGTTAGAACGGTAGAGGGTGACACTTTACAAAGGGAGAGAGGAAACCGCAAAGATGACCGAGTGAAGGGAGAAAAAAACACTAAAGTGGGAAAAATAAACTAAGGGGCTGTTTGGTTATTTCCTAAAAAACCAAAAAATAGAAATGCAAACCAAGAAAACTCAAAAAGTACAATTTCACACATTTCCATCTCTAAAACTCACCCACAACATCTAATAAAATATTATTTTTATCCAACAACTCATCCATCACATCTAATAAAATATTATTTTCATTCAACAACTTATCCATCACATTCACCACATCTAATAAAATATTATTTTCATCCACAACATCACTCAACTCATCTCATCTCATATTTAAAAATTACTCACATCATCCAATAAGATTGTGACAACTCATCTCATCTCATTAACATTTCATTTCTTTGTTTTCCTCCCAAAAAATTAGGAAAACAATTTCCTTAAGTGTGGGTCACATCATCCAATAATATAATGACAACTCATCTCATCTCATATATTTTCTTGTTTTTAAGAAATAACCAAGCAAAAGAAAACAACCTATTACAAGAAATAGGTTTCTTATAATTTATTTCATTATTTTTTTCGTCAACCAAACAACATCAAAACAAGTTTTCTTAAAAAATCACTCACATCATCCTATAATAAGGTGACAACTCATCTTCATTTCTTTGATTTCCTTCTTTTTTTAGCAAACCAAACACTCCAAAAACAATTCTTTGATTTAATAGTTTTCCATTTCTTTGATTTTCAATTTTTTTAGGCAAACAAACAGGCCCTAACATGGAGGAAAAAGAACTCGAAAAGAAAAAACAATTGCCTTTGCGGTTTTAGCTGTATCATTATTTAGTTTTTTGAACCCCTTATGTAAAACATTTTTGATGTATTACTACTGTCATTTCAAACCCTTATTGACTTATTGGCTTTATCCTTCTCCAAATCAAGTCTGTAGTATCGCGAGTTTCTTTATAATAGTTCCATAAAGGTCCTGTTATATACAAATTCCAGCTTATGATTTGGTAATGATTAATAATATTTTGCAATCCCACTCCTTGAAGCTTTGGCACAACTACATCGAAAATTCATAATTTCTAGTTATGTTATCCAGGTACTATGAAAATTTTCATAAAAACAGATCATGAATAAAAGTACAACCATGAGAAATCAGTGGTCAACAATAACTAACAACAGTTCGATTGGAAAAGGTAAGAAACACTGAAAATTTTATCTTTATAATGGATACTATATAACTAGAGAGCGCAGCACAAAGTATTAGTGTTTAAAATAAGAATGGAAAGATAAAGAAGCATAATGATTCATATAGTATTTATTCAGTAATGTATATAGCTTAACTATAATAGGTTTAGAGCAGATTCGCAGAATGCAAGTGCAATCCATGATTACAAGGAAATCTGCAGTCAACAATAAACACAGTGTTCCATTGGAAAAGATATCTTTATGATAGACGCCAACTAGGTAACGAGGCAGTACAGAGAGTACTAGTATTTAAAACACACAAAGGCGCGTGCGTGCACCCACACACAGGCAGGTACACCCACACACAAGTGTGCACACCCACGCATGCGCAGACAAAGACATATATATACATAGAAATTAATAATTTGCATGCAATCTTTCATTCACATATTTTGATAATAAAAAAATAATATTTTTATGTTTCTTTCACTATGTGAATTATAAACTGAAAAAACGTTCATTTCTTAACTAGATACGTAGAGGACCCTCTAAAATCACAATTCAGAACTGAGAACATGCTGTAACAAACCGAACACCAAGCAAGTTTCTGGAAGTGGATCTGAAGTGTAGAAAATACATCCAAGAAGCGGATCGCAAGTGTTTTAAATTAAACTGTGAATTATATAATTGAGTATACGTCTGAATGAATGTATGTGTATATTCAAGGAGTGTGTGCGTCATGTACAGGTACAAAAAGTGTCGGATACAGGTACTACATCATAGGAGTGTCCATCCAACATAAGTATGCATCCATTGCAAAGCCAAAATATGCCTTGCAAATTTATATAGATATTTATTTTTCTATTGCAAAACTACCCCCTTTGTCCACAATTCCACTTTGCGATCTACTTTTACAAACACAATATCATCCTCAAACTATATACATAGGGTGGTTACATAGATGAAAATAAAGCATAATAGTTTTGCCTAAGCCACCAATAAGATCGAATATTTGTCGCACTATCAGCTGGTTATATAGTGAAGTCAAGTTTCTTTTATATATTGGAATGAGCAATTTGAAAAATAACATGCTGCTTCAGAAACTGTTATTAGTAAACTAATAAGACTAGCAATATGGATAGATAACTGGAGAATGTTTAGTCCTTGTAAAAGTTGAATGAGACAATTTGCCGATTGGATATAGCATCTTCGAACAATTAGTCTAGAACATTAGATATTCGGAAATTACATGAAATTGCCAGATAAGTCATATTGAAGATCGAGTAGCATAAGATCAGGTAGTCAAGGGAACTTACATGATGAAATATGTAGCATAAGCACTCAGGAAGAAATCTAACATTGCTAGCCTCCCCCCAGATCAGATAAAATAAGCAAATAAACAACACTTTTTTTTCCTTGACTGCTGACTCCAAACTGTGGAGAATCAATATAGTCAATAAACATCAGATTGTTGTCAGTAAAGGCGAAATTAAACTATAATTTTTTTCTAGAGCAACCGCAACTACAGGAGAAGGTCACATAATGGAAAGAATTCGTACTTATTCCAAACCGGACGAATGGGCAAGTAGTTGCACCACTTAATATAGTTTTCAAGGGATTTGGAGAATACGATATGCACAGCACCTTCATCTATTTTCTGCAAAGAGAATGTGAATCACAGAGCTTGGCATGCTTCAGTTCAATATTTCACTAATAAATTTACATGAAATAGAAAATAAAAAAATTAATCAATATGGAATCATGAAAGGTAAAGCTTGAGTTTTGCAGTAAACTAATAAAGCAAGCTAACCCTGCATAACCTACAAAAGAGAAGAAGAACACAATAAAACCCATAGTCATCAGAAACATGGTAAATGAATAAGTTTGTTGAAACTTTTCCCTACTACCAACTAGCCTCCTAGGATTTACCGCAACCAATTGCATGATCAGCTGGAATGTCATAGGTGCCAACTGGCCTTTTAGGATTTGTGGCAAGACAGGTCCATAATTTCAATGGTGGCATGTGATCAGAGGATAAACGTCAGGTTAACATCTAATTTAAATCTCTTGAGGAGCCTCCGCTCCATAGCTAACCTGATTTCGGTAGGTAAAGTCGGATGAGAAAGATAAATGAGATCCTGTTTCGCTAAACAATATAACGGTTTAGAAGGCTAGAGAATATTTTCTTTTACTTGTTAAGTAGAGTGCTTAACTGCTTATGAAATGATTGATAGGAGATTGTGTTTGACTTGAAAAGAGGTAACGGTCTAGAAGGTTAATAGTGTTGTTTCCTTTTACTTTTTAAGTAGCTAGAGGTGGATAACTAGTCCATCTTTGACGAGAAGGTTAAGCAACTCATCTAACTTCTTCAATTCTCCTTTGAGTGCCTATGACATAAAAGCACTTAAGCCACCCATCGAAATCAGCTCTTTGCAATTGAGTAATAACAAAATAAAACATAGTTTGTAAGATGTAAATATTATTATACTTGTATCTTTCAGCACAATAGTTGTATTGACACCCACATGTTTCTTCCAATCATATTAGAGAATCTCAGAGTTTTAAGGAACCATATACAAGGTTAAAATCTCATAAATTAGTCAATGCATGAGATTATCTAACATTTCGTGATGAGGATCTGATCTGAACAGAAATTTTGATAGATCGCCAGATGTTCATGTAGTAAAGCTTCATGGGAATGAAAGCTTGATGTTGTTGTCGGGTGCTCTTGATGCAACTAGTTTGTGGTTAATACTCTTGATGCAACTAAGTTTTCAGCACACTCTAAATAATTTAAATGAAACTAATGCTTAAATAGAGGGAAACATCATTTAAAACATCATGAATGTGCTTATAAATATGTCCCAGAGGGGGGGAAATAACAGAAGACTACAAGAGAACTGAAGAAAGTTACGAATCAAAATGCACAAGTGTGACGCACTTACAGGTTCGTTTCCATCAAGACTGCCAAGACGAGACTGTGCATTAGCAAGAAGGTGAACTATATGTTCACGTTGGTTAGATACATTATCTTTCTGCAGCACAGAGAGGAGAATACAGAAAATTCGTTGGAGATCTTTCACGTCAGTTAGTAATACATTAGAAATTACACAAAAATGCAATGTGTAATATATTGTTGACAAATGGAAGCTAATCTGAAGGATGAAACTTGAAGGAAAATGTTCAAGAAACCAAATTGTGAAATTATATGTAACTACTGTAATCAAAATCTAAGGAGTCAAAAATTCAATTTTAGTTGATGCAGATCCGGTCCCCCATCATTAATTTAACTTCAGATCCTACATGTTCGCACCAGCAACCAGGTTGAAGCAATAAGACCAAGTTATAGACTGCTTCCATTATACAAGTCATGAGTACTATGCGCTTCTATAGGTTTATCATACGAAGAAATGAAACCAACAGGCACAAACAATATGTGCAAGCGGAGAATGAATATTCCCTTTTCTTCTAATTGCAACAGTTCCCTCCAGCATGTAAAGCATATGACTCGAGAACGTACTGCTAACACAAATGACAAAAGTTCGTAACACCCTTCAGTATAGGATGAGGAGTGGCTATACTAACACAAAAGATTCATATAAGATGGATGTAAGCAAGAACTTCATTAAAAGATTGAAGAAGGCACCCTGCTTGGGACAAGCTATAAAGGGGCACAGAAAATGTTGCGGTTCATGAGAAGGTTATTCACATCCTCACTCTGCTTCTAACTACTTAACAAATCCTGTCTTCTCAATGTTTGAAGGCCTGTGAATAGAACTTCAAGATTGAGGACAGAAGTTCTAAAGTTTAAGAATTATGCACGAAAACAAATATAATCGACCAAATTTCAATGTTATAACATGCAGAAACAAAAGCAATATCCACAAAAGATAATAAGAAAACTGATAAGAGTGTTCAAATAAGTTTAGACATGTGGAGAACTTGATAATGTGGGAACTTTTTCATACCTGACAACCTAGTTATAGTTGAATGTCATTTCATATGCTCTGAAACATGTGCCATTCTCTCTCACATCAGCACAACAAATATATTTGGTGGAAGCCACGTTCATCTTTCTATAACTAGTTGCTAGACAAAGATATCTAAAACAAACACGGCTTGTTGTCATATAAACTTCCGAGAGGTACAAGCACTTGTGATTGTGATTTGCCGTTTTACTACTTGTAAATTGCTTGTTTGTCCCAGATCGCCCTCCCAAGCACGGAAGCACTAATATAAGCACGGAAGCACTAATATAATGAGTGGACAAACGTTATAGGGATATTAAACAAAGAACTACTATTTTTCCCTTGTGTACCCCAACCAAAAAAAGGAAATAGAAAATCCTTCTTCCAGATGACTTCCCATTTAACCCTCGAAATAGCCTTTTAATTCAGTTTCACCCCACAAATTTTTTTGCCCCCCAAAAAGGACAAACCAGGTGACATTAGTCACAGAGGTTTTTTCAAGAATTAGAGTCAAAAAAGACCGCTGCAAAAAAAACTTGCCTTGGGAAAAATATTATGTTACCAATTTGCACTATCTTCATTAATGACACTACAGAATAAAATAATTTTTTAATAGACAGCAGAATACGACATCTATCTAAAAGAAAAACCAAAGCTGAAAAGAAAACATTTATTGAAAAGAAAAATCAGACCTGAAATCCAAAGACATACTGTAGGAAATCAAGCATATCTGCACTCCTTGTAGCAGGAACCAGAAATTCCGCAGGAAGCCTAGGTAGGCCCCTAAAGTACTTTAGCGATGACACCGCAGCCCTCACCTAAAGAAGAGAATCGTCAGAATAAAGAACTAGGCACGAAAGGCATGAGAAAAAATACTTTTGACAGTATTAATTCACCACCTCTGGAAATGATGCTATCACATTTGTTACAGACGGTGCGTCCAACGGAATAATGTTATAAGATACTACATCCTCTGACATTGCCGCATCAGATTCCATGACCCGTTTCATCTAAAATGGCAAAAGTAAAGAAATGATTTGTCTATAAGACTACAAAAATACACTGTATAGAAATCAAGTGCATAAACAATAGTCATACGATTTCTCAAACAAAGATAAAAGATTAAGCTTTCCAGAAGAGAAATAATCATGTATCAAAAGTAAGTAATAACAAATGTCTACAGAAAAGGACACCTCTTCAGGGATCAATCTGTCAGCTGCTTCAGGTGACATCTCTTTCGTGAGTTCCTCAAGTACCATACCAAGAACCTTAAGTGTTGCAAATACTTTCTTCCTTTTCACAGACTTACGTTCCAACCTGTTTTAAAGAACACATGGCCAAATATATAATAAGCATACAATTCTTGCTTGTGACGAAACAGTCAGTAGAATGAAATATCTAAATGAGAATCAAGGCACATACTCTTTAAGGTTCCCACTGAAAACACCAGATTCCCTCAATTTCATCTCATCTTGACGTAACTCATCCACTTTATGCTTTTCTCTATAAAGCTTGTAAAATTCTTGCAAACGAGCAATGTCCTGGCTACGGTCAATGCTTCCACCATCTCTCTTCGCAAGCTTTTGCTGAAAATTTGTTCAATGACATAGAGCCTCTAAATGAGACTAATAGAAGAGCAGTAGATGACTTAACTTAATGAACCATCAGAAGCTACTAACTCCATACTAAAACGTCAAAGAAATTATCCAAGGAAAATAATTATGAAATTGATATTATACGTAAAGTATTACCCTTATAACTGACATTAGACCCGTCTTGAATTGAAGAACACCTCTGCCCTCGCTGTTAGGATCCAAATTTTGGGACAATGAATATGCGTGTTCACATACTGCAAAAGGAAAAAAGGTTACGCAGGTGACTGTCATTGTCCAGCAAAAAAGGGAAAAGTTTAACTTTCAGAGATAAAATTAGCAGAGATACGGAAGAAATGTTCGGTGATGGCTCTGACAACATAAAATTAAACATGAGATTGTACATGCGAATAGTAGAAAGAAATGTCAGAAAGATTTACTATTTAGCACCAATCTCTTAGCATTCTACAGATTCCTGAGCTCAACCTCACTGGTACCAGTATACACAACACATTATTGATCCCGAAAAGACGGACATCTCCCATGTTCTAAATATTTTTCTTTCAGAACCCTAGTGCCCCACATAAGATATCCCTTTACACTCTCTAATTCCAGCAATTATGTAGTGTTTTCTCCACTTCAAGAGCCATTATTACTATCGCTTTCTCTCAGATGCAAGGTTCTTATGTCCTTCCTGTTTGATGATTTGATCTATGTGATAGTTACAAAAAGAACTCCAATCCAGTCTCTAGATTCAAATACAAAGTCCATTTTTTCAACTTTATTGAGAGTTATTTCTTGCACTACTAATTTAGGAAGCACTATTATTTTTATTGCCTCCGTCCATATTTCTTTAGCGTGTGAGAACCCCAGTTTTAGCACTTGCTACCAAATTTTTACTATACAGTGCCTTCTTATATTAGCTACTGTTCTCTTCTCACTAAGAATTTCTTATAGACAACTTTATCAATCTAAAATTTCTAGTTCCTTTACTTACAATTCGCTCGTAATCGGTAATCTATGTTCCACAACATGAATTTGCCCTAGTCTTAATTGTCGCATCAACATGGTCCTATTGTTTCTGACTGGCACACATCATTTATAGCCCATGAACAAATCATCTCAAATCAAACTTACCCTCAATTCAGGCTGCATATAACTTCTCGATGCACTCTTTAATAATCTCATTCATAGTTACACAGTACGTAGCAGGACGTGGTGCAAATGCAGGGACGCAATTCGCCACGGAGAAAATTTGTATTTGACAGGGGTAACTTGCTTCAGTACGCAAGTTAAATCAGTCGTACGTTGTAAAATAGTTTTGGGCATGCTTACAGTTTTTGTAAGTGTATAGTAGAACTAGAAACTAGAAAGCTAATTATACATTTCAATATATTTTCATACATACTACTTGAATACTTCTTTTTATGGAGTTCGCTTTTTCTGTTTTTCTTTTCACATAGTTCACGTTGGCATCATAGTTTCATTTCACGCTTTATTACGGTAAGTATTTAGTTAAGTAAAAATATTGACTACTGTATTCTATTGTGCACCTTCCTTCACTCGATTGCGCACATTGCACTTTGCCTTGCGCAGTTGCACTTAAAGCCTTGCGCCCCACAGACTTGCAAGAGGTACGCCAATTGTGAGGAACCAATCCATGTATAGGAGGGAATCGGTTCGCAAATGTACCGATAATCGATTCGCAGGAACTGTACAATGATTCAAGGGGTAGTCCCAGGAACCACGCAACTATGATTTTTTTCCTCCAATATCATGGGTAGTTTACAAGCACATTATATGCACGTTGTATTCCACAAGCACTTACTTCCTTAATAGTCATGCTTACATTATACAAACATCTCAACCAACTATCTTTTTGCTTGTTCGATCTGGTTAATACCGGGAGCCTCTCACACAACTAATCGCTTGTTTCTTTATTTGAAAACCGGACTGCAGTAGCTGCAGATCTGGCAGTAAGGGTTTTTACAGGCCTGTGATTGGACAAAATTTATAGTCCACTTTTGGACCCGTTATAACAATACATTATAGGTGTTCAATTGCGTATAATTTGGTATTTGGTGAGACCGTTGGAGTTTTGCATGCTTTCAACATATAAGAAAATGATGCAAGCCTGCAACCTGGTTTCTCCCTTCCATTCTAATATTCACAAAGATCACTAACATTGTCTGTCCTAGCTAGTGGACAAAACCCCTTCCCACTAAACACTTCAATCGTGATTGCAAGTTTTCATTTCTTAATCTACAAAAGTTCTAAAAAAAGATGTTCCTAATGCAGTCCCACAAAACCCCGCATGATGCCCGCCATCCCTGTTTACGTTTTAGTTGTTAGCTGACTCTCCTTTAGGCACATTTCCTCGTGCAATATGCGCTTTTAACAAATACAACACAATATAAATTTTAGGGATTTTATATATGTGGACAATGGTAAATTATGCTCATTCATGCTTCATGCAAAAGTTTATACTCCTCATGTATCTAGTTAATAAACTAATGAGGCATCAGAAACTGTAAATAACTACTGAGAATTTTCCCTTCTTGATTAACGAATCAAAAGCAAAACACTCATTAATGACTTACAGATTCTCGAGATATTAGGATCCTCGTCTTGGATCTCATCAGCCGCTCTCAGTATCTCATCAATGTGTAAATTGTTCCCAAGCGACGACGGCACATTCCCAGCGATCTCCCAGTTCGCATCCGCCCCCGGCATTTTCTGAACCAAACAACAAAGTCAGCGACGAATCAAGACACAACTAAAACCCTAGCTAACAAGAATCAAACGAACACGCTCCAATTACAGCTGAAACGGAGCTGCTGTCGAGTTAAAGCTAGGGTTTCGAAACCCTAGATTGAGCGATCGAGCATAAACCCTAGCTCGAATTAGATCCAGATCGGACAGTGAAATCAAGGAAAAGTAACAAAAAAGTGAACAAATTAACAAAAAATAGAAAGACTGAGAGCAATCTCACGACGAGATGCAGAAATTTTCGTTCCCGCCCACAGTTTTCGTTGGGTTTTCAGCAAAGACAAAGAATTTAGTACTTTTAAATCGGAGGGGACGAGGAAAAGAAGAGAGAAATGGTATTGACTGTAATAAAAGGGAGGAAAAAAGATGAACGGTGAGTTGTTCCGGCGGAGCGCGTTTGCTTGTTGCACCGGCAGACCAAGGGTGTGCAGGATTTGCTGTTCGGTATAAAACAGCGTAGATAAAAAATAACAAATGAAATGGAAACGCGTTAACTCCTAAGTGCGGGGAGCAGTGGTTTCAATTGGCTTGAAATGCTGTTGTGTGTATGTTTAGCGCATCTGACGGACTAAAATTAGTATCGTGAGGTTTGGTCCGTGGATGATGAGAAATCATACCCTTGAATTTGGAAAAATGAATGAATTCTTGATTCTGGAAGCTGATCTTTACTATCCTTAGAAATGAAAAGGCAAAATAGCCTTTTGTAGAAGCTTGGTGACATGTTGGTATATTTTTTTTAGTTTTATCATATTGGTATATTTTGTCGACTCCGACGTCATATAAGTCTTAAGTTTTTTGCCGGAGTTACTGTTCCGGCCAGAGCTGACAAGATTTTTTACATAAAACCCCCTCATTAAAACTCCATCATGCTCCTAACCCTCTCCTCCTCTTCCCCCTCTCCCTCCTCCTCATCTTCTTCAATCTCCTCCTCTCCCTCCTCCTCATCATCCTCTTCCTCCTCCTCATTAGACTCTTCCTCCTTTTTGCCAACCGCATCCCAATTCTCAAAGGCCCTGTCAACTTTTTCACCAAAATTGCCCCTAAAACCCTCCAACTTGTCCTCTTGAACCAACCCTAATCTTCCCAATTACTCAATTTAGCAAAGGGAGCTTCAATTGAGCCTTGGATGGGATGCAAGACATCGGATTGCAGTTGGCATTGTGAAAGGGTTGAGGTATTTGCACTTTGAGTGTAGCCCAAGGATCTTGCATTATAGGTTGAAGCCAGGGAATGTGATTTTGGGTGTGGGTTTTGAACCGAGATTGAGGGATTGTGGATTGGCGGGATTGCTTCCTGCTCGAGTCGATGCTTTGGGCTGTGAGTGTTATGTTGCTCCAGATTGCTTCCAGAGTTGCAGGTAAAAACTTCAAATGTTATTAGCGTTCCTCGTCATCAAGCCCGTGATCCCAGGCCAAATTTAATGAGGAGGAGGAGGAAGAGGATGATGAGGAGGAGGGAGAGGGGGAGGTTGAAGAGGATGAGGAGGAGGAGGGAGAGGGGGAGAATGAGGAGGGTTTTAGGAGCATGATGTGATTTTAATGAGGGGTTTTTATGTAAGAAATCCCGTCAGCACTAGTCGGAATAGCAACTCCGGTCAAACTTAAGACCTATATGGTGCCGGAGTCGACAAAATATACCAATCTAATAAAACTAAAAGAAAATATACCAACATGTCACCAAGCCTCTACAAAATATACCAATCTGGTCATTTTGCCGAAATGAAAGTGTTAATAAATTAGCTTGGATATGAAACGCAAATTACGATAGTAGCATTGATCTCTAAACTGCAAATTCAAAACTACTTCTGAACTACAACAGAGCAATTTACGAGTAAGAATCTCGAATTGCTTTTTCTTATAGCACAAAACTAGTATATCTTTGATCTTCAAGGGTGATACTACTATGTATTGCCGAGTTTCTATTAAAATCTACTCTTCTATACTTATATAGGAGGATTTAAAGAATCACCGTTCACGCTACAGTGAATTATTGTGGCATAAATGACAAACCAGATCTAGCCCTCTGCACTCAAAGTTACTGCTCATGATACAGTATTAGCAAACCAAATCTGGCCCTCCGCACTCGAAGGTACTGCTCGTGATGCAGCATTTACTGTAGCATAAACAGTAAATCAGATCTAAGTGTCTACACTTGAAGCTATTATTCATTTTACAGTTTTTTGTTGTATTATAAACAGTAAAACAAATTAAATGTATTAAAACCTGGATACTCTTTTAAGTATAGAGGAGTAGATGTGATTTTTAAATCAAATATATTAAAACTTATATCATTCTTTAAGTATATAGGAGTAAATATGATTTCTAATTTGAAGCGTACAATAATTAAATAAAATGTGTTAAAATTTAGAGGAATGCAAGTTCAAAATGTGGTGCTTTAAAAAATAGGGGACCATGTCTTGCACGGGTGCACACTAGTCTATACTTATAGGAGGATTCAAAGAATCAATATTCGTGCTACAATGAAAGCTACAGTGAATATTGTGTTGTGAACAGTGCCTCAACCCCCAGTCTATCTAGCGCAGCAATTTATTGTACCATAAACAGTTCTCCCACTATATTTTTTAAGTTACTGTTTATGCTACGATATTTTACTTTATCATAAGTAGTAAATCAAATCAAATGCATTAAAACTTAGATCATCCTCTAAATATAAAGGAATAGATATGATTACTAAATCAAATGTATTAAAACTTTGATCATCCTTTAAATATAGAGGAGTAGATATAAAATATAATTTTAAACATACAATAATCAAATTAAATGTATTAAAACTTAGATGAATGCAAGTTTAAAATGCAATACTTAAAAAAATTGGAGCCGTGATTTGCAGGGGCGGCACACTAGTTTGGATTATATAGCACTTCATATTTTTTGTTTGTTTCCTTATAAAATCTCACTTGATTAGACTTAACAAAATGGCAGAGCCAAGGGCATAGGATGGCCAACAATTATTAATATATAAGTTGTTACATATTCGTGTTTTACATCTTTTATATTATGAAATTATTCCTTGAATTCATAGAAACTGCTACTAGATCTCCTAATTCTTAAATAGTTTCAAATTATTTCCTCTAATTGGTACAACTACTCTTAAATAAATAGGCTAATTTCAAAATAACTTAATATCAATTTCAATGATTTGATGTATTTCTTCAAAATATGAAAGATTTAATGTGCCGATATTGAGAAACAACTAACAATTAAGTAAAAGTTACTATGCAAACAATAAAACGTAAGTTGAGAGCTAGTCCATTATATAAAGAAAAAGAATTGTAGGCCTGTGATAAAAGAATTATGGGTCTGTGAATGAGAGTTATGGATGAAAAAAAAACTAAATGGCTATGTATGGTTTAAAAAAAAAGTAAGCGGTGCGACTAAGAAATTAGTTAATTTGAAAGAAAAAAACATTCTTGTTTCCTTTTTATACTATTTTTTCTAGGCTTTGAAGTCAAATAGGATTAGGAACATCTCTTGTGGGATCATTTCTTAGGTGCTGCAGGTTTACATTTTGGTCGAAAATGTTGGAATCTCATCATCTACATGATTATCATTTGTAAGTAAATTATGTTCCATGCTTTTCTTTTATTCGGAGTTGTAGCAATTTGAAATGGGTATCTATTTCATATTTTCATGTATTTCTTTGCCTTTAATAATTTAACTATGAATTCTGTCTATAGTCACGTGGTTTTACACTTTGTAGAGGAATTGTAAAATAAGAATTTTCCAATTTTATTAAGTTTTACATTAAGAAATAAAATAAATATGTGAACTTGTATAATCCATAGCGTGAATTTGTAGCTTATGGTTACGGGAAAACCAGCTACAATTAGTATATTTTTAGAAGGAAACATTATAAAATTGGAGCACCTTGACTCACCATGGTTGAATATGTTGAAAAAAAAAATTCAAGTATGCACGAGAATATTTTTTGTGTAGAACTTCTAACCCATGTTTGTTGTGCGTGACGGAACAAACACAAACGCCGAGAGAGAAAGTCAAAACAATCCAAAAATAACGGCACCAACTCAAACACAAAAGTTTAACGTGGTTTGACAAATTGCCTACGTCCACGGGGCAAAAATGGATGGGTTTCCACTATAGAGAAAGAGAGTACAAAGTAGAGCAAATTGCCTACGTCCACGGGGCAAAAATGGATGGGTTTCCACTATAGAGAAAGAGAGTACAAAGTAGAGATTACAAGATCACTCAACTAACCTAGAGAAAGAGAGTACAAAGTAGAGATTACAAGATCACTCAACTAACCTCTCAAACAAATCTCTTAAATTAAAACTCTCAAATAAATTGCTCAGAAAGATCTCTTTTTTCTATGCTCAAAATCACTTTCAAGCTACCCAATAAATAGATAGAAAACCCTAAAAAAACGTGACTATATTTATAACAAAACACAATCCCAAACAGATTAGGATTCTAAAAACGAGTCTGCCACACCATGTTGTGGCACACACCACACCCATGACAAACATGTCAGATTTTGACACACCAGGGTATGGCAGACACCACACCCATGGCAAACATGGCAGATTATGTCATACCCCTACTACCTGGGTGTGGCAGACATCACACCAGGGTGTGGTGGGGTCTGTCTTGCTTATTTTTCATGTTTTTCTGAATTCTTTTCCTCAATTCCTTCGTCGTTTTCACAATTCTCCACATCGGCGAAGTTATTCCAAAAACTGAGCCGACACCAACCAAATCAAACGTCTCACTTGTTACGTCCAGTACGAAGTTGAACAAAACCACGACAACGGACTCAATCCACAACAAGTCGAGACCTAAACGAGAATGTGAGCACTCTCCAAATGTTGGTATCAACTCACCAAACTGACTGCATCAAATTGACTGCCTACGTACCCCCTCTCCCAAGGGATTAAGCTGCTCGTAGTTCATCAAACGGTCTCCAAAGGCCCTCAATCAAATAGAAAAGTTTGCAACTCTTCACCAATATCACCAACGGATCTGCAACTGATGACGCTCTCAATGACCTCTAAGTGAAACAAATCAAACACCCCCACCAGAGGTGAATCAATGGCCGTATCCAAATCATATCCACCAGCTGCATTGGAATCAACCAACTCATCATCTGCACACAAATCCAAATGATCCCCTAACTGTGTCACCTCAGCTGGAATCTCAAACAATGCAGAATGATCTGGTGTATGTGGAGTAATCTCCGCCCAGTGTGGAGTAGCATCACTCTCCACCTGCTATGATATATCTAAGGTCTGTCCAAAACTCTCCACTTGCTAAAAGTCAGCTCCCTCATCGAAGCCTCAAGCGAAATGACACTACCAGACCAAACATCCAATGAAGTTTTACCTCTAATCGCAGCAGTCGACAACCTATGACCAAGATGACCCAAATATGTCAAAGCCTCAACACCAGAATCAATGCTCGATATCAAACGTCGGTCCTCCTCTAGCAAGGAACAGCTCACCAAATCTGTCATCTCATCTTGTTGTCCTAAGATTTTCTTTCCACCGAAGTGTCTTAAAATGTCGTGAGCTCGACTCGAATGCAAAAACAGGTCCCTCTTGTACCCCCCACCAAAATCAGAATGAAGTACCTTCACCTTTCTACCAATCTCACACTTCTTCAATCTGTTGGAGACTACTAGGACTTTATCCAAAGGGGATTTGGTTGCAACCCAAACACGCCTAGAACAGTCACCAACAAAGAAAATCAAGCATCTATTACCTCCCAATGATGCCTCATTGGAAGGCCCCCAAACATCCGTGTGAACTCCACCTAAAAGACCTTTAGTGCGGTGAATAGAGGTGCCAAACTTCATCTTGGTCTTCTTGCTCATATCAAAGTGTTCACTGGACTTCAAATTGCAGGTCTGCGCACCCATCTCCAAATTAATACTAGAATGACTAAGCTCCAAATACCGCAGTCTAGTCGAATCAATAGAAGTCGCCAGCTCTATACCTGTCACCGAACTTCCAATCAAATAGTACATGTTATTCCTCCTGACGCCCTTCATCACAATCAAAGAGTCTTCCACGATCTCGAAAACTATGTCCTCAACACGAACCTTCAGACCCTCTCCAACCAAAGCTCCAATTGAGATCAAGTTCTTCCTCAAGGCCTTCAGACCCTCTCCAACCAAAGCTCCAATTGAGATCAAGTTCTTCCTCAAGGAAGGAACATATCTCACACCATATAACTCCGCTCCAATTGAGATCAAGTTCTTCCTCAAGGAAGGAACATATCTCACACCATATAACTCCCTAACTGTCTCGTCAAACATCTTGATGTGAATTCTTCCTCTCCCAATGATCTAGCATACACGGTTGTCACCCATGTACACCACACCACTATCCAATTTCTCAAAACTGAAGAACTATTCCTTTCTGGGGCACACATGATAGGTCGCACCACTATCCAACATCCACTTGGATTCCTCCGAATAGCTACCTGTAGGACTGATAGAAAACGAATAAATATAAATATCAGAAATATTACTATCAGATATAACGATGTTTGCTTCTGATGAAGGTTGCTTCCCTTTTTTCCTTCTGCTTATTCTTCATCTATTCGTCGAGCTTTGGACAATCTTTCTTCCAATGACCAGTCTCCTTGCACTAAGCACACTAATCTTTTCTAACTGTAGGATGCTCTACTCTAGACTGTGACTTTTAATTCTTTCGGTTTGGATTATTCCCTCTTACGACCAACGTCTCCGCTATTGTGTCACTTGTAGACTCCTTATCTTTCTTTCGAAGCTGATAGTTCACAAGTACAACGGTGACCTCACTATATACGAAAGAGATGCATTCCCATTGATAAAGAGTAAGGACAAAAGTCTCATATTTCTCGCCAGGCAAGAAATTCAACAACAATAATACTTTATCATCATCTTCAATCATAACATCTATATTCGTCAAATCTGAAAGAAACTTCGTGTAGTGGTTCATGTGATCACCAATGGAGGTTCTTTTCTTCAATTGGAAGCGATAAAGTCTTCTCTTCAAATACAAGCGATTCTCCACACTCTTGGTCAAATACTTTCACTCAAGGATCTTTCAAATCTTCTTAGCTGAAATCTCATTAATCACATCATACTTTAAATATTGAGTCAAACAAGACCTAATTACACCACACACCGTTCGATTCATCTTCTTCCAAACCCTCTCATCAATATCATCTGGCTTGCCATCCAATTCTAAAATATCTTCTAAATTTTACGCGTTGAGCGCATCTAAGACTTCACTCGCCAAAGTCCAAAATTGTTAGTGCCATTAAACTTCTCCACGTCTATCTTCATAGAGTGAATATTCAAACTTTGGACGGTCTTCACACCTGAAGTACCCTCCACAACTCCTTCTTTCCCGGCCATAATTCCTCAAAGCACCAATAATCAAAACAGAACAAACGAAGAATAGATCCAAAACTAAGAAAAGATAAAATTTTTACCAAAAAGATCCCACATTTAACTCCAAACGAAGCCCTAGCCGAACTTCCAAAGTGATCTACTCATCCAAATAGCCCAAACGTAACCTGAGCTCTGATACCACTTGTTGTGCGCGACGGAGCAAGCACAAACGCCGAGAGAGAAAGCCAAAACAATCAAAAAATAACGGTACCAACTCAAACACAAAAGTTTAACGTGGTTCGACAAATTGCCTACGTCCACGGGGCAAAAAGGGATGAGTTTCCACTATAGAGAAAAAGAGTACAAAGTAGAGATTACAAGATCACTCAACTAACCTCTCAAACAAATCTCTCAAATCTCTCAAACTAAACTCTCAAACAAATTGCTCAGAAAGATCTCTCTTTTCTGTGCTCAAAATCATCTTCAAGCTACCCAATCAATAGATAGAAAACCCTTAAAAAATGTGGCTCTATTTATAACAAAACACATCTCAAACATATTAGGATTCTAAAAACGAGTCTGCCACACCCTGGTGTGGCACACACCACACCCATGACAAACATGACAGATTCTGACACACCAGAGTGTGACAGAAACCACACCCATGACAAACAGGGCAGATTCTGCCACACCCTGCCACCTGGGTGTGGCAGACACCACACCAGGGTGTGGTGGAGTCTGTCTTGCTTATTTTTCACGTTTTTCTCAATTCTTTTCCTCAACTTCTTCTTTGTTTTCACAATGTTCCTATTCACCTACTTGCATATATGTAAATTAATTATACAGTCATATTTGATCGATTAATCTGACTGCACGATTCACTGACCGGTAAACAAGTCAACTGTCTCTCCTATCTCCAGCATCAACCAGCATTTCACCGCGTAAATCAGTCCACGTCGCACTAACACGTCTTTGGTTCTATGTCCGAATCCAGAATGAATATGAAGTTACTTACCTCGGTTTCATAATTTTGGATAATAAAGTTCCTCGCAGATGTTGAATGGATAGATTCTAGGATAGAATATGGGCTGGTTACGGCTCTCCTATTTAAATACGT